GAGGACCTGGGTTTCAGTCCCAGTATTCAAATGACAGCTCAGCAATTGTCTCTAATTCCAGTTCCAGGGGATCCAACACCCTCTTCTGGCCTCCTCGAGCACCAGGCACACATGTGCATAGACACATGTGCAGGCAAAAACACCCACACACATAGAATAAAACTAAATTTGTTTGTTTTTGTTTTTTCAAGACAGGGTCCCTCTGTGTAGCTCTGGCTGTTCTGGAATTGGCTTTGTAGACCAGGCTGGCTTTGAACTCACAGAGATCTGCTTGCCTCTGCCTCCCAAGTGCTGGGATTAAAGGCATGTGCCACCACCGCCCAGCAAAATTAAATTTTAAAAAATTAAAAAAACAACTTTCAAAAAAAGACAATTTACAATCTTAGGAGAAAATACACTGTAACAAATATGATAAGTGACATGGAAATCAATGTAGTTAATAAGAAGATAAATTACCTGATAGAAAAATGGGTAAGGAGTAGCAGAAGGAATTCACCGTAAGGGTACCACAAACAGCCAATAGAGGTGAAAAGCTGCTCCATTTCATTGGCAGTCAGGGAGGTGAAAATAAAAACATGGGATGACATTTTCTTCTCATCAGATTGACTACAACTTAAAATTGAAATCGAGGATATGCAGTGTTAGTGTAGGGAGGGCATTCATCTTCATGTATTAGTGGCTGGTCCACCTCTCTTTGCTGGTGTCAGTCAGGCTGAGAGGAAGAGCTAAGGCAGCCTCTGCTACCTTCCAGGTGTCCTGGGGAAATCAAATGGGGGTAGGGTGAGGTGGGGGAGTGACTGCTTTAAAATGACCCAGACAGCTCAATGGCTGTCATGAAGCTGACACAAAGATGCAGCCAACAATAAGGATTTAGAATTCGGAAGGCAGTGAGCACAGGTTTAAGTATGAAAGGTGTGGTGAAGGGGAGAAGCCTCTAGGATCGTCATCTCCAGCCTGCAATCTGGAGCGCATGTGCTGTGGGATGGTGGCAGGAATCCCAGGAGTCTGGGCTGAGTGGACCAGGTGCACTGGGGTATGGACAGTTTCCCTGTCAGGCCTGGGCAGAGAGGAGCCTGAAGCTGAACCCAGTGGAGCTATGACTGATCCACCAAGTCAGTCCCAGTACGTTTGCCTGATGGGCCCTGCGGTGTGAGGTGGCCATGGGGGAACACCCACAAAGGACAACTGTCAAGTGCCTATTCAGGGTGGAGTGAGAAGGAGGGGCATCAAGGGCACGGGCAGGACACTCCTCGTGGCTCTGAGCTGTGAGCGGAAGGAATGAGGAGAGGCGAAGAGCCAAGGCCAAGTCCAGCCAACAGGTCTTCTCTCCTGGGCTAAGCTTGCTTGTCCACTTCATTCATCATTTCAAAAGAATTTTACAAAACACCAGCAGCCTGCCAGGCACGGCTGAGATTTGGGGCGATAAGGCAGTGACCCTGACAAGGCACCTGCTCTGGAGGTGCCTTGGAGGGAAGAGAGTCCAAACAGGGAATAAATAGTAAGATGATCTGGCAGAGAAATGCCGTGTGAGAAATAAAATGGTGATGAATTAGGAGTAGGGGCGGGTGGTGGGAAGAGGAGAGGGGGTGAGCAGCTGATGTCTGACAAAAAACAACAACAACAACAACAACAACAACAAAGAAAAACAACCCAGCAACCAAAGGCAGGGAGGGAGCCCCAAAGAAAGAAGGCGGGCACTGCAGGCCCAGGCTAATTGCTTAAGACAGTGTTTTGCTAATAAGATCATGTTAAGAAAATGAGGCTTTCTTCATTTGTAAAGAACTCATTAGTGAACTCTATTTTTAGTTCTTCCCCGGAGAGTTTAAAAACTAGGCAAACATTTGTTTGTTGGGAATGGTGGGGAAGAGTCTAGGTCCTCGAAGGACCCCATGGGGATGAGGATGGGGAGGAGGCAGGGATTGAGAAGCACCCACCTGGCCCGGGGCGTCACGTCCAGAAAGAACTGCACGAGGGCCAACAGGTTGTGGTGGTGGTCGGAAACCCAGCTGAGGGCGCAGCACAGCGGCTGGAGCTGTGGGACAGAGGCACCGGGGCTCCTGGAGGAAGCTGGCTTCACCTCTGCCCTGCTACCCGGCGGACTTAGGGGAGCAAAGGGGATTATGAGGGCCGGGGACCCCTGAAGAAGCTGCCAGCGGTGCTCTCCCCATCTAGGGTATGCTAGGGACAACAGTCTGCAGTGCGGAGCCCAGGCTATGGTACCTTCTCAGGCCACTCTTGGATGTTTTCCAGGAGCAGGAGCAGGAGCTGCTGGAGGTCAGTCTTGGGCAGCAGGCGCAAGCCTACATCCAGGCCTGCGCGACACAGCAGCTCCATCAGGCCCAAGATGCCGGCATCGGTGTAGGACCTCGGCTGGACTAGGAAACACAGGATCAGGAACTGGAAGGAGAGAGAACCAGGAGGGGGCAGGGGGACACGGAGTGAGGCCAGGGGCTGTGGGACCCGTTCCCTGGAGACCAGCAGGGCATCTGTCTGTGAACCTCTTTGGCCATGCTGGCAGTCACAGTGGACACAGGCTTTCTGTAGCATGGGCACCAGGGCCACCACTGAGTCTACAGTGGTGCTGAGCTGCTTCACTATAGGCACCTGGTGATGCTGCCCAACCACACTGCAACACTTGGGGGACAGACAGGAAAGGAAACTTTGGCTCACCCTGTAGATGTAGCTCAGCTTAATGTCCAAGGCCACTTCCTGGGGAGGATCCTGTGGTTCCCAGCAGCCCAGGCTGGCCTCACCCTCAAGTACTCTGACATAAAACAGAAACAATATCAGTATACATGACAGGGAGTGATAGAGGAGATGTACAAGAAGAAAGAGGCAGAGCCAGTGGAACAGAGAATGCTCAGAGGACCCATTGTCCAAGGCCACTGTTGAGGTGTGTCTTGTCATCACTGGCTAGGACAGACCTTCCCCTTTTCCCAAGTAGAGGCTTAAAAACATTTATTATGTCTGGGCGGTAGTGATGTACACTTTTAATCCCAGCAGTTAGAAGGCAGAGGCAGGTGGATCGCTGAGTTCGAGGCCAGCCTGGTCTACAATGTGAGATCCAGGATAGTCAGGGCTACACAGAGAAACTCTGCCTCAAAAATAGCAACAACAAACAAACAAACAATCAAAAAAACAAATAAACAAACACACACACACAAAAACCCATTTATTATGCCACTGAGATTCTGAGAGCCGAGGATCCAGGGACAGCCAGCTGGGAGGTGCTTCTTCAGGTCATCTTCAAGATGCTGGGTGGAGCTGTCTTCATGGCAGGCTTGCCCAAGCTGCGAACCTATCTCTCAGCTCATCCATGCAACCCTCTATCGGGAGGTTCCTGCTTCCTGGCCACATGGGGCTTCTCAACACGGTGTCTGGAGGGAAGTACACCTCTGACAACCCGATGTTGAAATGACATCCCATTGCTCCTACTGATTTCTAACAGTCACACAGGCCAGCCCGACTTGGTGTGGATATGGACTACACAAGAGTGTGGGGAGAGAACATCACTGAGTGGGTGGTCGGTCACTGGGCGGCTGCCTCTTACATGCTGGACACTCAGATGAGGTCTCCAGCTTCAGCATTCTGGGACCTTGACAGCAGGAAGTCCTACCTCTGATCCCCCCATGATCTTCTACAAAAGCCATCTTTGCCTGTTCAACGATGGTACCCACTAAAAGAACCACATGGTAACTCACAAGGGGCCTCAGCAAGTGAGACAAGAATCAGAACAAGGCTGATCCCGGCACACCCCACCAATGGCTGTTGTTATGGACAGGTCCAGAGTGGCCAGTCCCTCCAGTGAGGGGCAGATTTACTCAAGCACCAGCTGAGATTGGTGGATTGGGGTAGGTGAAGCAATCCCCTCCCTGAAGACGAGAGTCACATACAGCCAGCAGGGAGCTGCTCCTAGCAAGGATGGTATAGGCATCAGGGGAGAGCCCTGCAAACTTCCCAGATCACAAAAAGATTCTCTTGCACACCAAATGTACATTAGCCAGTTAACTGGGTTTCAGGTAAAGCTCCCCTCTGCTGTCTCATTCACTTCTCTTGTCAGCTATCCCAGGTTAGTCTCCAGCTCATTCTGTAGCTGAGGATGATACTGAATTTCTGATTCTCTACCTCCTGAGTTCTGGGATTACAAGTATGTGCCACCATGTTCAGTTCATGTGGTACTGGGGATCGAACCTAGGGCTTCATGCTTGCTAGGCAGGGACTCTACCAATGCTGTTGCTGCGGCCCCCGCCCTGACTTCTCCACTATTAGGAACGTGCTTAGAGTCCCTGGAAGCAGTGGACCCTCAACAGCTGAGGGTGAGATGCTGAGGGTGACAATGACCCTGAGCAAAGTTACAGCTCTAGCATAGTTGTTCTGGCCCTGGGCACTGTCAGGCACCACCATGCAGCTTCAGGAAGTTTCCTTTTTCTTTACTTCTTGGCCCTGCGTTTCACAGAGGGGAAAGAGAGCTGTCTCCTACATCCCTGGGAAGTTGGTGCCAACAAACTAAAGTTGGTGGTGGGGGCGGCGGAAGCTGGTGCTGGGCTCATCCTTTCTTCTGGATGTCAGCATTTATTAGGACCAGAGAATGGGTGAGGCTGGGGTTTGCACATCTGGGTGTATACTGGGCCTACGCCAATATGTGAGTGGGTGTCTTGGTTCGTACCAGCCTGGGAGCAGGCACTGGATGCAAGCATGGGTGGGCATGTTTTCAGATGTTCACAAAGAGTCAGGCAGCCATGGTCTGCTACAGAGAAACAGGATTTCAGACAGTGTGATGCTGCCAAAGGGAGAAGGAGCAAAGAAAGTGTGAGCTGGCGGCATGTCTTGTTAGAACTGTCTGAGGAAACCAAGTGTGGCTGCGACAGAGCCCTCTCCTCCTTGGGAAGGGATGCCAGACTTCCCAAGCAGAGCTACCTTCCCTTGTGAGTGCCAGATATTTTCCAGCCCTTCTTTTTCTGGACAGAAAAACCATGAGGGTCCTCTACTCACTGCTGGCATCTATAACTGCGAGTCTAAGTATGATTTACTTACATAGTTGGCAGTGCTGGGTAATGAACCAGGGCCTCATGCATGCGAGGCAAGCACTCTACCCATGAATTATGTCCTGTGACTGCTATTCTAGGTGTAGCATTGGCGAATTCTCATGACTTCACCTAGTAAGAGGACAAAGAGCACCAGGAATTCAGGGCCACTAGTTCCCATTCTTCCAGCCTGCACTCGGCAGTTTATGAGTCAGCTGACAGTCCCATTGTCAGCCTCTTCCCCGGTCACCGATGTGCGCTCACTGCCTACCTTAATGACCTGGAGTCTGAGTCTCAGCCACATTGGTTTAGACTCATAAAGTGATCAACTGACCTCTTCCTATACGTCAACAACTTGCTTTCCTTGAAGGATTGAAAAGACATAATAAAAAAGCTGGTCATGGTGGTTCATGCCTACAATCCCAGGACTTAAGAGGTAGAAGTAGAGATAGGAGGCTCCGGGTTCAAGGCCAGCCTCTGCTACATAGTGCATTTGAGGTCAGTCTGGGTTACATGAGACCCTGTATCAAAACAAACAAACAAAAAAAATCAAAGTCAGAAGAGGAGGAAAAAAGTCATATTCAAGCCAGCATCTGGGGCTAGAGAGATGGCTCAGCTGTTAAGAGCATTAGCTGCTCTTCCAGAGGACCCAGTTTTATTTCTCAGCACCCATGTGGCAGCTCACAACTGTCTGTAACTCCAGTTCCAGGGGATCCAGCATCTTCACACAGATATACATGCAGGCAAAACACTAGTACACATAAAAGAAAAATAAATAAATTATTTTTAAAAAGGCCAACATCTGTGGAGCACTGTGACATTCTCAGAGGAAAGATGGCAAATATGAGTACCACTACTACCACCACAAAGGAACACCTGGTATTGTGGAATATTTGTACACTATGTGAAGATGTATTGCTGTGATTGGTATAATAAAAAGCTAAATGGCCAATAGACAGGCAGGAGGTATAGATGGGATTTCTGGAGAGAGAGAGGAAGTGGGAGATGAATCTAAGCACTTGAAAGATGCCAGGAGACACAGAAGAAGCAGGATAGGTAGTACGTGACAAAATGTAGATTAACAGAACTGGATTAAGTTATAAGAGCTAGTTAAAAACAAGCCTAAGCTAAGGCCAAGTTTTCTTAATTAATAATAAGTCTCTGTGTAGTTATTAGGGAGCTGGCTGGTGGAACAGAGAAAGACCCATTACATATGGCACCCAACATGGGGCCACATAAGGCCTGAGAAAGCTAAAAAAACAACAACAAAAAACGATTCAGAGCCAGGCGTTGGTGGCGCACGCCTTTAATCCCAGCACTCGGGAGGCAGAGCCAGGCGGATCTCTGTGAGTTCGAGGCCAGCCTGGGCTACCA